GGGATTCCTAACGAGCTACTACGTAGTACTCCATTGCGAGCGAGCAGTAGTACCCACGGTGATCCGCCTGGCCGCGTACTACCGTAGAAACTCCCGTGCATCCCATGCGTGCAATATATATCATTGGGTGAGATTTGTTCGAGGAGCACCATCGCATGACCGACATATATAAACTGCGCAAGTACAAGAGATGGATACGCCACAGTACCTGATGCAGGAAGGTGTCTTCCGATCTCACAGCACTGACCAAAAACAGTGTCAATGGCGGTGCGACTGACAAGTTTTAGCGAATTAAAACTGTTTTGTGGTAGACAAAAATGTGCCACGCATTTCTACTTTGGCTGCCCACGGAGAAAGGAGCCCAGTGTACCCGATCACCGGTTTGAGCCCCACCACTGCGCCACCTCAAGGAAGGATGCCGAATCGGAAAATCTGTGTAAATCGTCTTCAACGTTCAGATCCATCTAGCGTTGTGATGTCGTCGCCCCTGTCGCCACCCAACCGCACAATTCAAGCCACGGGCGTGCGAGGATGTAGTATAACTCACGGCGCATCCGAGTCGGGATTGGCAGAAGTGCGCGATTGCACACATCCGTTCTTGTGCTGTACCCTCCCACGCCGGGAGATTTTCGACTGTGCATTTCAAGATACATTTCAAGATACGTGTCAGAGACAATAATATCACCAAATCTCCACCACCCCCATCATTTTGTTCGTCATATGGAGGAAGACTACAGTCCTTCCGGAACTGGCCACAGATGCCTCTCGCACGTTTTCTGGTAAGCCATTGCGTTGTGGGTGCGACCATGTGGGAAACACACAAGAGTACGCACGTAGCCTTTGTGTGGTGGGAAGCAGATGTGTGGCCTCCAAGTGTACCTCGCTCGAACCGTTCAATGCCTGCGTGTTCGACTTCGACTCGCAAATAGCATAGCTAACACCGCTTCGTTGGCATGGCACACGACCAAGAAGCTCGGATACTGTACCTCCTCGATACCTCTTCTATGACGCGGCCGATGTGCGGGCTCAGAAGCGGCCGGCGACTGCGGCACTTAAACCATGTTGCACTTTTGATTGCGGCGAGGCCTCATCTCAGATGGCAGCCGTGTGCGGTGGTACAAAAGTGCAACGTGCTCCCGGTCTTATGTGCAACTGTGGCACGTGGGCCCGGACGCCAACGAGCGCCTTGAGAGCTTCCATCGCCGGCAGCTGCGTCGACTTGTAGGTATCTTTCACCCCAACACGCTCTACGACCGCTGCGACAGCGTACCGCTAAACGTACTAGCTGCCCGTCAACGTTGGCCGCTTCTTCACCCGAGGTGCCCTGTTATTTGGGCCGCACCAAGATCACGTCACCGATCTTCGTCCAGTCGCAGACGCCGCCTCAGTCGCTGGTGTCATCTCTCGAGGACTTCGACAAACTGCGTATCTTTGCCCCCAATCGCAATGCCAGGAAGAGCTTTACAGAGCGTGTCGTCATGGGCCTGGCTGCAAGCGCCCCCGGCGACCACAGAAGAGCAAGACTCGCCGCCGCCACAGTCCCGCGAGCGACGTTCTTGTAACAACGAGGACAACGCGAAACACGATCATTTATATTGTCAAGAGAGCACCTCCAGAGGCTCTTCAGCCGACACGAAGACTACGACTCTTCCTCGCTTCTTAGTGCTTCTTAGTGGTTTTGTTCAGCATCTCTCTCATTTTTTTGGTGGGTTCGGGTGACTCCGTCCCAGAGTGAGCGGCGTCGCATCTATGATGGGGCGCCTCTCCTCGCAGGCGGTCGACCCTGTCGTCGACCGCTTGTGTCAGTCCTTTGCGAGACTAGCAATCTAAGGAGATTGTTAGTCTCTACGTATGCGAACTCTTTGTAACAACGAAGATAACGCGAAACACGGTCATATATATATCTCTCATTGGCTGTTTATCTCCTCGAGGCCAGGGCTTTTTCCTCCTCTTGGAGGTTTCCCGTCTCTCTCGTCGTTTGAATCACAAAATTGGTATCTCCGGCACTCGAACCCGGATCTACCTGGTGGTAAACCAGTGTCTATACCGCTAGACTAAAAGATGTCGACTAGATATCTGCATTCTTGACTGTTTGTATGCCCCAAATATACTTACTTTCCGGCTTGCTTACCGCTCGCTCGTTTGCTTCCTCTTCTTTCTCATCGTTCATTTTACTTCGTTGCTCTGCTTTGAGCCTCGCTGTCCCAAGTGCGAGCTTGACACGTATCAAGAGCATCTCGAAGCACCCCACGTTCCCACCGACCAACTACCTTGCTCATTGCGAGAGGTCATTGCGAGGCAATGCCGTCGTTTGTGTGTATGGATGGGACCATGGGCTATAAGACCTCCGATTCCTACATTAGGATTCGACAAATTGTTTTTTCTATTTTATGCTATTTCCGACATTGGTGGTAGAGCTGTACGGTGCCAACGCTACTACTCGTAATCAAACTATCGCCGAGATCCAAGAGAAACCGAGGCGTCGCTGCGCTGTACGACACGGTGACATACGAGGCTTCGGACGACGACCCGTCAGGCTCGAGCAGCGGCCGGTTATTGGTCCAGCGCGCGTCGTCGTCGACGCTGTCGTGGCGGGGGCCGTTGCAAACATGGTGGGCGGGGCGCGCCCCCCTGTGATACAAGTCTCCATATCCTTTTGAATGACAAGTTGTGCACAAGTTGTTACCTCGCATTGAGCGCTGGGGCGTGTTGCCGCAAAAGCAATAGGTGCACAACCGAACGACCGGCGCGTTCTCGCTCTCGGGCACGGGGACCTTGTAGGCCTGAATGCAGCGGCGACACACAATCTAGTAGCAACGCACTCAGCACGAGCACCTCTACGAGGCCATCAACATACCTGGCGGCAGTGATAGCAGTGGTGCTTGCTTCGAAGAAACTGAAACTTCGTGTCACATGACTCGCAGTATGCGATGCGCGCGGTGGACCGGTACGATGGTCGCTGGGTACCGCCGCCCAATAAAAGGGCCGGGAGTCGCTTCAGCGCCAAATGCGGCTCGAGGTTGAGCATCTATTGTTGGCATTTCCGATGATGAGGGCGATGTAGTTCGATGTCGGGAGTGTATAATACCTGGCCCACCATGCGCTCGCAGACTTTGAGGTTGAAGAATTTGGGGGTCGCGCCCGGGTCGCCAATGACGTAAGCAAAGTAGTGATCAAAGAGCCCAGGGACATTGGTCTCGAGGAAGACGTGCCCCGACTATTCCAATCGACTATGAGACACGCCGTGTGCGAAACCGTCGACGGTTTCGTATGCAACCAGACCCGGACAAAGCTGGACCGCACGATGCTGTGCGACTGGCGCAGCGACGGGCAGCAGTCCAACGCGATCGAGTGGATCGCGCGCACAAAGCCGCGGCGACTTCGACCTGTCGCCTTGTCGTCAAAGGTAATCGTGTCGAGGACCTGGGAGAACCCTCGTTGGTTGAGACCCTTGTTGGCAATGGCGGCATACCTCGAGGAAGCACGAGTCGCGCTTGAGTGTGATCGCCGACGAGATGAACGGACACGCAATCACACTCCATTGGACGCTGGCATGCATGGGACTCGTCGAGCCGGGCGCCGACAAGGTATACAGCGTCTGGCGGTCGACGACAGCTTGACCAATGACCTTGCTGTAATTGCGCAGTTTCTCGTCCGAATTCAAATGAAAAAAATCAAACAGCTCGTCGTACGACGCCTTGATCTGCGACGACCCCGTGATGCCATAGTGCTCGGGTGTATAAATGTCCGTGCCCGCGTGCAACTATTGCACATGACCACGTAGATTCGCAACGATCGATAGAGCCGAAGAGAGTTATACCTGCGCGCGGCGCTTCGTAAACTCGTTGACAAGGACCTTGGTCGGCGGCGCCCGCGCCATGGTGATGGCGTTGAGCACCGTGTCGTGGCAGAGACGCTCGGCCTGCGCCAAGAGGGTTCCGTGATCGCCCGGTGAAAGCGGCGGGCACGTGAAAAAGTCGCTTGGTAGCGGGAGCGCCATGGCAAATTCTCAAGTGATTGCTACGGCGTTCGTATTACTAGGCTCGTCGTCCGCTGCTGCGATTGACAAAAATCGTGTGTGATAGCGGCTGTCACGCTCCGAACTTTGCATTCGCGAATCTCAAAAACGGATCATTTTTATTGATATATAAAAATAAAATGCATTATAAAGTTCGCGCGTTTCAAGTGCAGATAACGCTCGCGCGTGCGATTGGCCACACGTGGCACGATCGTGGCTGTCACGGGATTTTGGTCGGTTGTAGTCGTGCAGTCACCTGGATTCGGCGATGACATCAAATTTTCGCCTGTATCATGTTCAAGGACGCTGGCTGCGGGGGTGCGAGGACACCAACATGATGCCACAGTGGGCAGACCACGCGCAAGAGCGTTGTGCGATTGCGTTGTGCAGTCCAGCGATGCGGAGACTCGTCATATTTTTTGGCGAATCTCACGATAAGATCAGGCAGCGACAACGTCGGACGCGTTTCAAGGGTAAATTAGGTAGAAAACGGATTGAATTGAATTCCATGGCTTGCTAGTCCGAGGATGACTTGTGGTCCAGGTATGAACTCGGAGCGACGAGGCGATTTTCGACACGCACGTCTCGCATCGTCTCATGCACACACACACAGTCAGTCACGCGCGCGATGACTAACTAAAATTCACACACACTGACCACAACGTCGGGTTGAGATGTGCGACAGAAGCGAGGAGTTGTTAATCGACAGCTAAAACATGTATCGTATTACATGGACGCCACGTGGAGGCGCGCAAAACGTTCTGAACGCCGACAGCCGCGTCTGCTTCGTCCAACGCCGGCACGCGTCTCGGGCTGGCGACCCCGTTGCACATCGTTCGAACACGCAGTCGACATTCTAGGCTACTGCGGGGCGGCCACATTTTCTGGCCTTGCTTCGAATGCGCCCCATATATGAGCCCTCCTCCGACCACTGGGCTTTCGCCATCTTGGGTGCTGACGAAGGACGACGTAATAGCTCGTTATCGGTCCAGTCAATACTAGTATGGTCTGTCCACCAACACCAACTGGCGCCGTGTCCATCGCATCCTTCAAGATGACATGGTCCCCGCGTCGGACGCTGGATGCACCTCGCCCTCGAGGCACGTTCTGCGCTACATTGCGAGTGCACGCATCTCGTGCTGGGAAGAGGCCGTGACCCCACACTGTACGCCACCGATTGGACACGACACGCGACGACTGTCCGCATCCCATTCAAAATGTCGTCGGAGTTTAAATGAGTTAGCGGCACCTCTTTTAAGTTGAGTCGCGCGACAAGGCAAACGCCTGCTGCTGGTCGTCGTCGTCGTTGTCACTGGTCCCTCTAACTGCTTTGGAGACGACACCGCGCCGCGTCGTCGTGTCCGGTTGCTTGCCGACGACGGTGAAATTGCCTCTAAAAAACGGCGGCGGCAAGGTCGTCTGTCGAAACAAGTCATCTAGACAACACACTGCGCCTCGGATCAGGTCGTGGTCGTAAATACCCGCCATTTGATTGTTGGCGGTGAAGGCACGCGTCGTGGGCAGTTCCGAGAGCATCGTCGGCGTCTGTCGTCGACGGTACTTGGTGCGTCGTTTGGATGGCGTACTACTGCGCTCGGGGCTCCACCTACACGGCCATAAATCGATGCATGCGTCGCTGTGGCTCCAAATTCT